GATGTGCGAAAAAGTTCAAACACCTTGACGGGCTGTGAGAATCTCTTAAAGAGCCCTGCACAGCAGCAGAGCATAATAAATCTGAGAAAAATAAAAAACAAAAACAAGAAAATATTTCTCTTATGTAAACGAAACCTTTTTAGAGGGCGATACCAAACCCCCCCCTGACGACGTTTAGCAAGCGCTTTGTAAATATTTAAACTGGTCTCGATTGTTTTGCAAAATCGTTGCATTTGGTCAAACACGTGTTCGAGATAATTTAATTAAATTTACTTGGCTTTTGTGTTTTTTAGCTCAACTGTCTAAACTACCGCCCGCCAAAGACGGCCACGTGCCGCGCCGCTCCGCGCCGCGCCGCGCCGCTCGACCAGCCCCTTGTCCGGGGGCACAACAACAAGTTGCACTCGAAACCGAACTTGACTCAAGTGGCAAACACTTCAGCACTTGTGCCCGCGGTCCGGGTGGGGGTAATTTCTCGATTGTGGCAAGTGCAATTTGCCAACAACTTAAGGGCTGTTCGTCGGGAGGTGCAGAGAGCTCTCACTCTCTCCCTCTCTCTCTCTCTCTCTCTCTCTCTCTCTTTGATAGGATGAGTATCTGTAACTTTCATGCATCCTATCGCCTTTTTCTATCGAAACTTTGGTGGTCTTGCGCGCTCCTCTGTTTGGATCGCAGACAAAGCAACTGTCATATGTTGTCATTTCCAAAGATACTTTTATTGTTAAACAAACCGACGGCATCTGCCGTTTTGACAATATACAACATCTCAAATCCACAGAGAGCACGGAGCGTCTTAAACAAATTCCATGAATAGATGATGATGATGACTTGAAGAACTTGGACTGCGCTGCGCTGCGCCTCGGCTGACTCTCCAGAATCTTCGCCTGAGAGAAAATCTCAATAGAATCAGAGAGCCAGAAACTTAAAATGATTTATGCTTACGGTGTGCGGGTATCGCATCTCATTCGGCCTGCTGCTGCTGCTGCTGCTGCTGCTGCTGCTTCCCTCGACATTACTCAGAGCTAATTTGCATATTGGTCTGCAGCCAGCCCCAGAAACAGAAGGAGGAACGGCTACGGCCAGGATCCCAATAGGACCAGGACTAGCGGCACACTTGAGAAAATGCATAAAAGGAAACTAATTAAAATGTTCGCGCCTCAAATTTCCTTTCTACCAACCCAGTTGCCCCCCTCTCCTTCACGACACTGGCTTATTTATGGCTCGCCTCTGTAAATGTCTTGCATATGGCAAAGTCAACAATATTGTTCTGTTTTCCCTTCCTTTCCTTTATGGTTGACAAATGGGGCATTTACATGCGAGTCTTGTTCGGGCATTATGTACATTTAATTTATTCATGGCTACGATTGGAAAATGGCGTCGGCCCAAATCATGTGGAAACTCATCAAATTCACACTTTCCAAGAAAGCGTACAAATTAATTAATTAATTATTAGAAGAAGGATTTACATTTTTAAAAACATGACTTGTCAAGAAATTGTTTTATCTTAACCTATTAAAATTAAAATATAATAATAATATCAATAATAATTATAAATATGTTAATAATAATAATAATTATAATACACTTTGAAACTTGGGTTAATTGACGATAATTCTTTCAGTTTGTATGTTAGAAATTCAAAACAAATTTTTATTTTTAAAGATTTTTTTGGAAGTTTCGCATGTTAAAAAACATTATTTGTTTAGCCAACCAATATCTTAACTTAAGATTCGAAACCCAGGCGAGCAAGTGGATGGTTTATTAGCTCTCCCTTAATATTAGTAAGATTAAAGCATTATAATAAAAGTAATACTATAATTATAATATTAATAATACTAATAAAAATAATAATAACATTAAAAATAACATTTATTTATACTACAACAACGTTGGTTCATTAATTTTTGTATGTCAAAACTAATCTCAATATTAACTTTAATTTTTTTATTGAAGCCTTTAATTATTTTCAGATTTTCTGAGAGTTGAACTCAATTAGTTCAGCATAAATTGCGCAAATCGATTTTACTGATCGAAACGTTTGGGAAAGCTAATTAAGACTTACAAATTAGTTCATTAGTTCGTACTACTTAATTAAGATGAAAGTTATTGCTTTTTACTTTTAACAGAGTGTTAAGCAAACTAACTAATTCATTAGAATTATGATGCTGATACTGATCAGAAACCTATATACTTAATGGATTCGAAAACGCCTTCTTCTATGCTCTAAACATACATTAAAATCCATCTGTCTAACTGTACACTTAAAGTTATACTGTAAATGATTCATTGTGAGTTCCTTCAATCAGAATCCAGTCTGTCGTTAAGATCTTAATTATGAGCAGTTAACTATTCGCCAAGTTCCAAAACCAGCAATCTCCCAGCTCAGCCGAGGCTGTCATCGGTGTCATTTGGATGAACATCTCTGCTGCTTATTGTCCTTTTGTTTGTTTTGGTTAAAAGTCAATCCGCACATTTAATGGAAGCGCTTGTGATAATGAGGACGCGGTTCGAGTATTCGAAAAGACAACTTTGCTAATCCCTTAAGTCGCACGCAGTTACAGTCACAGCGAGAATTTAATTGTCAGTCACGCGGACCTGAGACCGAGACCGAGACCGAGGCTGAGGCTGAGGCTGAGGGGCACGGGATTAAGTTGCCAGCAAATTATTTAGCAATTGGTTAGTGAGCCTGCCATGTAATCCAATTGAAAACAATTCAAATTTGAGTTCCCAATGATTTTGAATGGTCGCCGGCAGTCAGACGACAAAAACAAACAACTGCCAGGGCTGGGAGGGAGTACGACAAGGCGAGGCGGGGCGGAGTGAGGCGGAGTGAGTTGAGGTGAGGTGTTCTATGACAGCTGCCAGCGACGGCGAACAAAATTCGGTCCCGGTCCCGGCCCCGGCCCCTGGGCCAGTGCCCGTGGAGAATAGCGCGTGATAAAAGGGGTTAATCGAACGTCCGCTGGAGTTGGACCAAGCGACCGAGCGAGCGACCGAGCGAGCGACTATTCGCCCGGGAGCATCGAAGTCGCAGACCCTGGCACGGATTTTGTGGTCGACGCGGCGCTAATGAGTGCCGCATACTTTCGCTTCTGTTCGGTCGGCCCGGTAAAATTCAAATTTTTTCTTGGATTTTGCGGAAAAACAAATCATTTCGTGTGTTTTGGGGGTCGACTTCGTTGAGAAACTTAGCTCCAGCAATTGGTTAATTAGCGACGTCTGGGGACATCGTTTGTTGCCCTTTTGATTCGAGCATTAAATATGGATGTACTTGGAAATTCCGCTCCTCATTGACTCATCCTATTCTATTGGGAAACATTTCGACTGTCACTAGGTTTCCGAAATAGACGCCAACTGGAACAAAATAGTTGTGGGGATTCGACTCAATACAAATATTGAGATCCATGTTCGGGTATATTTTTGCCTCCCTGCATTTGCTGCACTTTTTAGCTGTGGCTACTCGAAAATACATATGCAAGCATGACAGCCCGTAAGGAGATTAACAACACCCCCCCACATTAATTCACGGAAGCATGTCGGCGTCTCTCTGAATGGAATCGACCCTACGACCGCATAGTGAGAAACCGCAAATGCGGAAAATGCAAATTGTTTGACTGACTGACTGCCCGTTGTTTTTCCTGACGAGGCGTGAAAATGTGAGGGCGGTTTCGCTTATGTTTGTAATTTTAACACGACACGGCCCGATGCTAATCCGGGAGGTGGGAACAGTTGTTGTACGAGTAGGTACTCGAAATTCTTTGACAACTTGCTTATAGAATGGGAAATCCAAGAGAAGTTCATTATTTGTTTGACTTTTAAGTTAAAGTCAATTAAACAATACGAAATTGTGGTGGAAGTATTAGCCTTTAAATCTGAATCACAACTATAATATAATGAAAATTAATAATAATCATAAGAAAGGTATTTAAAATTAAATATAAATAAACTTAATAAATTTATGAGTTCATTGAAGGTCACATCAGTAATGATAACATAGACCAAAGCATTTTTATATGGAAGAGGTGCTTACTGTGTTTGTTAATTCATAATTTAAAACTATAGTCAATATGTGACATATATTAAAAAATTGTTCAGTTCATTTCCATCAGTTCGGTTTGGCAAAAACTTGTTTTATTTTTTAAATTTTACGCGCATTGAAACTACTTTTCAGTTTCATTGTTCCGTTTGTTTCGCTGCGCACTGCTTGCCGCGCTGCACTGCTTTGTTGACACACGGCTAAGAGCAGCAGTCTCGCTCTCACGGCAGCAACGTGCTCTCTTTGGCTGATGGATTAAGTCCCGTTGAAACCAGATTGGCCAATCAGCGGCGGGCACACAATGACATTTTGTTTCGATTCCCAAATGGCTTGCTGCGTGCTGCGCTGGGATGGGGCGTTGACACTTTGGCTACTGCAGCTGCGGCTGGCGCGGCTCTTAGGGCCTAGAATGTTGGCAGCAGTTGCCTGGGAATAGCCATAGATAAGCCAGCGAGCCAGCGAGCCAGGGGGACCTGGTGGACTTGGGCCAAACAATGGCACAACGCGGCTGTCTGGCAACACGCCTCTCGACCAGGGGCTAACCGGGCACCCAGTTGGACTCTGCAGAAGACGGAGGCGCCGTCAATGCCTCTGTGCCAATTCACAGCGTTCCAGAGCCCCACAACAGGTCAGCGTCGGCGTCCTAGTCCCACACACACACACACGCACACAAATGCATACACTCGCGCGCAGTTATGTGTTTGTAATTATGCTCTGAAGTTGTTTCTCTCCCGCTCTCTCACACTCTCTTCTTGAGCTGCGTCTCGCTCTGGCTGTTGGCTCTTGGCTCTCTGTCTGGCTTACGTCCTCGCCTGCTGCCGTCGCGTCGTCATCGTCATCGTTGGTGGATGGTTGCTGACAGTTCGGCTCTCGGCGGACGGGCACAGGTTTCCCTTTGGCCTGTGCGATGCTCTGTGCCCGGCCTGAAAAACCACCACTCCCAGCGATAGGTTAGATTTCCATTCGTTCGTTCATGCCTCACGCTTAGTCGCAGTCATGTCTTATTGTTGCAATGCCACCTCTCCCAGCCCCCGGGCCGTCCTCTGCGCCGACAACCGCCCGCTGTGCTCCTGCGGCGCACGCTCGTTTCGTTTCCACCGCGACTTCAACTCTCGTTGGTCGTTGCGGCTTCAATTGCGCTGCCTTCGCTGCTGTTGGCGTCGCTGTTCGCAGCTCGAAGCTGCGCAGTTGCCTTGGCCGTTGCAGCAGCATCGCAGCGGACTCGGATTCAGTTGGGGTTTAACAGCCACTCGGGACGGTAGCGCGCGCCGCTTAAACTTGTTGCGAGACCAATTTTCCGAAAATCCCAAATTCTCCGCGGTGCATTGGCACTTACCAACACACAGAGGCACACCCGCACATACATCTATGTACACCACACCTACACACACAAATAATACCAATACTGGGTTCAAATCAAAACGGGCCCAAAACCCCCAATTACAATTGCCTTCAGTGTCGATTTGTGCGCCGGTATCAGATTAAGAGCTCAGCCTCCGCACTTGTATCTGGATTTGTATCTGAATCCGCAACTATATCTGTATTTGTATCCGTGGCCGTGTCCGTGTCCGTGAACCGTATCCGCGTCGCGCTCTATTGATTGCCGTGCCTCTCCAGAGAGAGAGATCGAGTGACCCAGAGAAACAGAAACAGAATCTGTGCTTAGTGTCAAATCGTGGCAATAATTGCAACAGCAGCGCCGGCAACAACAACATTCACCACGGCTGCCACAATTGCAACAACGCCCGCCGCGAGCAACTACAGTAAAGTGAGCGACTACCCGTACGCTGATCTCCACCAGCACCATCACTTCGCTAGCACAGCGCCCCTGACCAGCGCCGAGAGCTTCAAGCTGCGCTCCGAGGAGCCGGTGCCGGGCTTTAGCTCGGCCTCCCCGTGGCCCACGCTGGAGCTGGGCATGGAGTGGGGACGCAAGCTCTATCCCACCGCGGGCCCCAGATCCGCGGGCAGCTTGATGTTCAGCCTGCCACCCACGGCGGCGGACATGAATCAGCCGCGCGGACCGATGACATCGCTCAAGGAGGAGCCCCTCGGCGGACGCTGGGCCATGCAGCCAGTCGTCGATCAGACCAAGTAAGTGAAGTGAACAAGTGTTGAAACCAGACATGAATATAATATTTGAAAAGCTAAACAATATAAATAAATGTTTAGCTTAAACTTATTGAGAATTATAGCTTAAGCGAGTATGTGAAATCCAAGCTTATAGCTAGTCAAAGACTGTGACCGAGAGTCTCTTTTCTCAAGGAACAGGAATTCTAGTCTGTACAATTTCCCCTTTGTAATAATATCAGTATGATATTTGGATTGCTTAACAATCTAAATAAATGTAAAGCCTAAACTTGTTGAGAATTTTTGCTTAATTGAGTAAATGAAAAGAACAGAATAGCAACATATCCATTCTGGATCCAGCTGAATTCTCAATTATAGTCTGTGCAATTTCACCTGTGCATGGGAGCATTTAACTTCCTGTAAGATACGTAAGTTAGCTCCTAAATGTTTATAAATGTTCATCAATTTGAGCGTTGCCTGTAATGAAATCAACAAAGGAATAGATTTAAAAGTACTTAAAAGTACATTCTCTATTATTTCGCAAAGAATAATCCCTATATCCATATGCCATATACCAAATTCTTCAAATCTTCTTCTGGTCGTATTATCAATTTGATGCCTATCGAAATATAGGCAACATTTTCGAATGCCTTCGGCAACATTTCGCATGTTGCGGCAACAAAAAGTTTGGACAAACAAAAAGTCTCCAAAAAAGCGTTTGTTTACTTTTGCCAAAGCCGGCATGACCGATACGAATGCCCCGGGGGGAGCTATTCCCAATACCGTAGTCAGTTAGTCAGTTAGTCAGTCAAACAAGGGGCTTTTTATGAGCGGACGTCCGAGTGCCCCCGCAGCCCCCGTAACCCGCCACAGACTCAGCAAGGCGCAGGTTAAACAAAACACCAAATTCCACTCAAAGTTCCACTCGAAAGCAAGCTCGCTGGACTAGACGTCTTTTTGAGGGGGGGCCGCACGCACTTTCCGGGGGTTGACTTGTGATGCCGGGATGCTCCGACGGGACGTGAGCTGCTTTGCCTTTGAGCTGGCGTGCTTTTTGTAGCCCGTACGCTTAAAGGGATGTTTTTGTTGGCGCTTCACTTTCGCTTTTACTTTCGCCTTGGCGTTCATTTCAATTGAATTACAAAAAGAAGAGCGCCCCCGGCCGAGGGGTTGCGGCAATTCTTTGCTTTCAACTTCTCGCGAAAGCTTCTCCTCTTTGCGGCGCGTTTGTTTAGTTGCCTCTGAGATGTTTCTTGCGTGAGATGTTCGCGCCCAGAAGAAGTGCGCGCGTGGCCGAAACCGAAACCGAAAGTGCGACTGCGAGTGCGAAGATGACAGCGGGCTTTCATTCGGTGCATTCAGCGACGGCAAATCAACAGCAACAGCAGCAACAACTAACACAATCCCACACACACCTGAGCACTAACGGTCACAATCACACCTGCAGTAGCAGTAGCAATAGCAGCAGCAGTTGCAGTAGCAGTCACTGCAGTAGACAGGGACAGCATCATCTGCATTTGCAGCACGAGGACAATCTGAATCAGGATCATAATCACAATCAGACACCGAACAATACAAACAATAAGATAATGCGCTGTGATCTGAGGTAAATCCGAGAGATATGAGCATACTATGAAATATATCAGATATATGTAGATATAGACACTCTTCAACTGAAATAGTGTAGAATATTTTAATAGTGCGAAAAAATAATATATTCAAAGAAAAACTTATTCCATTCATTCTGTACAGAACTTAATCTATCTATACCTCATGATGTTTAAAAAAAAAAAAAAGGGAATGTTCTTTAAAGGTTTCATATTTTTGTGGCTCGAAAATATTGTATAAAAATGTTTTTGTGTTAAACTCATTTAACTCGGTTTGCCAAGTGAAATACTGCTCTTAAATTCTTTTGATTGCTGTTAATTGTATTTTCTTAACATTAAAATGAAATCATATTTTAACCAAATGTGAACACAATTTCACTCGCATTATTATTTGTTTTTTTATACAAGTTTTGTTTTGTCACGATGTAATTATAATGTCACGTAATGCATTACCAAGTATTAATTAGCTTACTTTTAACTTAAACTTTAACTAACAATTGTGTAGTACATTTAATCTTACTTTGGTTTTGAAACCGTAAAAAACACATTTGAATTGGTTTTAAATTGAGAACATATCATTAAAAAAAAAACGCAATTATTCATTTTAATCAAAATACTATCATTTTCTTGTTGGCAAGTGTAGTTTACAATTGAGCTCGAGTTTAGCTGCTTTCATTATTGTCCCTGATTAAAGTTAAGAAAGTTTTTAACAATGCATCGCAAAACTTTGGCCAGGGAATAAATTGCACACAATTATCGGGCAACTCAATATTTGCGAGCTACACTTTGGCCATTTATTTATTTATCTATCTATTGTCACATATTGTACTAAGTACTTGTTCAGACAGGCAACAAAAAGCAAAAGGCTGGGCGGCAACAAATTCGATCATAAATCAGAAATATTTGAAATTTATTTCAACAAAGATTGCTGCGAACTGCAATCGAGGCGGCAGCCGCTGGAAACAATGCAACAATGGCTATAAAATGTGCTCCACGACCATTTTCCAAATAAAGTGTCCTTTTTAAAGGACATTCGATGAGAATTTAGTGCAGTTCAAGCAGTTCAAAGAAAAAAAGTGGAGCATGTGGAAATTCACGTGCGCGGAATAGGCAAAACGTGACCACGAGTCGCCCCGCGTTCCCCTTGCCCGCACCTGTCCGTTTGGTCACCTGGGCATCGATTTCCGACAATTAAATGTTGGCATAATAAAATCAACAGCAAAACGGCCACAAAACGTTTTTCGCAAATTGGCGGCAAGTGCAAACAAGCCATAGAATGAAAGAGTCCACAATGCGACGACCAAGTCGGAAAAGTCAACAATCGAGTGCTTAGCTCCCAGACCCAATCTCCGCATTCGCTGTGGGAGTGGGCGTGGGAGGAGAGGTGGAGTGGGAGGAACAGGACGTTGTACAGTCGCAGTTTTTTTTATTTGCCAACTCTCACTGGCGTTGGGTTATTTTGCTGTTCACTTTTGGAACCGTTTGGCGCCATAACAATAACCTTTCGCCCGGAATGTAACATGTCTGGCATTTATGTGTCGTATTTTCCCCAGCTCGAACATCATGCGGTCCCCGTTCCCATCGCCTCTGTGCATTGGTACTGTTCCCTGTTTGCTGGCCTATCCCTGTTGCAGTGGCCGATTTTAGCACTCGGCCTCAGCCACAAATTGTCTAATTTCATTTGTTTTCGCAAAATTGCTAAATTGAAATTGCATTTATGTCCAACGAGAGTTCCCAATTGCATAAAGTCGAGAACTTTTATCTTTACTGGGAGTTAAATTAGAACTGAGTCGATGAAGGATCTCAGGATTTCTTCAAATCCACCTCCTAATGCTTAAACTAATGATTAAAATTGAAAAATGTTGTCAAGACCCACGATCGAACCAGACGAAAGCTTTTTCTAGCCCAGTCGGACAATTCTCAAATGTATTTTAACAAAATATATCAAAGTCTTACACTCAAACAGAATTATAGCCTAGAGCTATAGATTATACTCGATCTAATCAATATGTGTCGCAGTCGAAATAATTTCAGGGAATGCCTCTGGGACTGAATCCAAGCTGTTCAAACAAAAAGTATAATTATTTGCTGAGAAAAGAGAAAAGTAAAACAAATAGTTGAAGCAAAATAATATTTTTCTGATTGCACAACTAAAAGTGAGTCGCAGCCCGCGTATTATTTGGTTTTTTTTTTTTGGGTGCGGGGTAGATAATTTTTCAAACGATTTATCATTGCGTCTATCATTAGCTGGGCCCCAGTTTGAACAAGTCCACTGGCATTATCCTTTGGCAAATGTGTATATAATTGCAGGCGACGAGCGGGGGGGGGGGGGGGGGGAAAGTGGAGCAGAGGGGCACGCGCGATACTTCTTGACATTTGCCTGAATAAATAATAGAAATCTGATAAAATCAGCATTTTCTAAATTAAATTGTTCGTTATGCATATGAAACGAAAGCGCAGCACGACTCGACTTGACTACTCGGCCGTGTCCGAGGGTCGCAGCCAGGTAGTTAGCATTGTCCGGTAATTGCGCTGACAGCCCCAGACACAGAGACAGAGAGACAGAGAGACAGAGACACGAGTCTGCCATAAGGCGAGCAGCAGGAGTCGCAGGAGCTGCACTGTTGACATTTGGCATATGGAGTGGACAAGCCTTTGGCCCATGTCCATGGCCATGTTAAGGTCCTGGCCCGTCCTGACGTTGGCCTTATAATTACAGTGTTTGCTTGGCCCACATAACATAAATATTTGTTGTTGTTTCAGTCTCATTGCGGTCCCGGTCTCTGGCCAAGTCCCGACCCATCCCATCGCCCCCCTTGAAGCTGGTGTGTGTTAATTCCTTTATTCATCAGGATTATTGTGTCACGTTGAAGTTGCTTATGCGCTTTTAATGATAGCTGTCACTGGCCACCGGCCACCGGCCACCGGCTGCTGGTTAAATGTCACTGTCAAGTAATTGAGTTGTGCCAAACAATGAGGCATATTAGTTGGGACGGAGCACGGCTAATTGCCCGAGCAGGCCCTGCGCTTACAGTGCTAATGGCATAATTGGATGGCGCGTATGTTTAGGCCCAGTTTTAAAGAGACACTTTTTCGCCTTCTAATTGCAGTCTTGGCATCGGGCGCGCCCACTTTGAGAAGCAGCCGCCCAGCAATTTGCGCAAGTCCAATTTCTTTCACTTTGTGATCGCGCTCTACGATCGCGCCGGCCAGCCCATCGAGATCGAGCGCACCGCCTTCATTGGCTTCATCGAAAAGGATTCGGAATCGGATTCCACAAAGACCAACAATGGCATCCAGTATCGCCTGCAGCTGCTCTACGCCAATGGTAAGTGATCGAGTTACAGAATTGTTGACCAACTCTTAAATGAATATTCCTTGCAGGCGCACGACAGGAGCAGGACATTTTTGTGAGACTCATCGATTCAGTAACCAAAGCGGTAAGTTTTTATTACCAGACATGCTTATAAAATAGAATATATAAATATATATAAATATAATGTCATACAAAATGTGATGCGATTGCTTCTTTTCCATTGAATTCATAATTTGGACAGAATTTTAAACTCATTTCGCGGAAAAGTGTTTATTTTCGATTTCCCCAACTATTTCATCCAAAGACAAGGTTTGGCAGTTCGTTGAGAACAATTTGACCTTTGACCGAAACAGGAATAGCTGGGCTATAATCAATTGAAAAGCTTGATATTCCCTTGCAGATGTTGCATTTAATGCGATTGCTTAGCTTAGTTTAATAGAGATTAATTTCAATGCACTTAGAGTTCATTTTCTTCCACCCCATTCAGACCAGAAACGAGCTGCTGCTGCTGCTCATTTTTTAGTCGAGTGTTTTTTTTTGCCACGCAATCGAAAACTAATTCCTTCCACTTGGTTGCCGATCCTTCTGTTGCCCGTGTGCACTCGCTTTGGGTTTTGCTGATTCGAGCATAAGTTGCATTTGAAATTGATTGTCACGGCTAATTAAGTGTGTCCTCTGTGCAAGTTCTCGGCGCGCACTGCCAATAAATTGAGTCGTCAAACGGTCCTAGCCCCGAAGCTGAACCTGGAGCTCCTGCTCCTGCTGGCCAGCCAAACGAGCAATTCATTCACACGACGCGTCGCCGCGTCAGTCGCGCCTCCGAAAGGGGTGTGACTGAGACTGGGCCAGGGGCGGGCGTCCAATCCAATCGAACATGGTTAATGCGCTTTGTTGTGGGTGCCCGGTGGATGTGCGTATTCCTTGCTGCAGTGCACCATATGTCAGCTTTGTGTGCGCCTAATGCGTGTGCGATGCCTTCTGCCTGATGCCTTCTGCCCGTAGTCCCCTTTTTCAAGGGCAATTAATTTCTCGAGTGACAAATTTTTATAGACGTTTGTCGTTTGTTCGCCTCTCGTTTGCTTTCGTGCTTTCTTGGCATTCCATTATTTTGTCGTCCGTTGTGGGCGTTGCTTTCACCCGATCGCAATAAATTTATCCACAAATTATCGATACCTCCCCGAACCGGAGCCAGAGCCGGAGCCGGAGCCGGTCACCAGTGTCAGGCATCCATTATGTGAAATTTAATCGCAAAATATTTAGCGAAAGCAAAAACATAACAAGCTTCGCAGCAATTCCATTAAGGACCAAAAAATGTTGTTGTATTTGATTCCCGAATAATGTGAATATCGAACGATTCGAACGATTGGCGATTAGTTTCTTTGCTTATGTTGAGCGTGTTTCCAAAGAATTTTACGGCAATTAAAAATTATCGCATAACTAAAAATAGGAATGAGGAATTTACCCAACATAAAATCATGAGGAAACCCATTTAATGTAAACATTTTTGCATATTTTCAAACGATAAAAACCCAAGCACCTTCAGCTTGACGAAAACTAAATACTCTAGCAATACAAAGTACATGATAACAATGTACAATGAAGGTATAAGTGTGGATAAATCAACAGTATAACAAGAAAAAGTGCTCTAATCAGTAGTGCCCGACTAGGAGATACCCTGATACCCTAGTTCCAAGATGAAGATAAAAACAGTTTAGCTTCCTTCTATAGATGCATACACAAAACAAAAATTTGGTATGGGAAATGCGGTCTAAATAAACTTCGGTGCTTATAGTCCGATCATTATTAAACTTCTTAAACGTGTTTGCAAGCTGATGAAGAATGGGGGAGGTATCCAAACAACGAAATATTTCTGCCTTATATATACGAGAATCTAAATCCCAATTTTAGCGATTATAATCTTCGAGGTATGCTTAAAAGACAAATTGTCAAAATATATTTTTGTTAAAATAGAAAAAATTTTCTTTTTTTAAATCTCTACGAGACGGACAAACATATTACGGATAGTCCTGATCTGCCTTATAAATATACAAATTTAAAATATTTAAGATAAAATACTATAACTAAAGTAAATATGTTTTTACAAAAAACATCTATATGTACTTACGACTGTTTTTTAAATGGACTTGAAAACTTTTCCAAGTATTTGTCGTATGTTAGCTACCCCGGTCCGAGCAACATTTAAGTGCCTGTCAGTTGTCAGACGAGTTTAAAATGAGTTGCAATTGCCAGAGTCAACGGGAATGAGGGCTAACAAAAAGAACAATCATTTGATCGGATTAGTTGGATTTTAGCATTCAACTGAGGCTGACGGAGCTGCACTCCATAGGTTGTATACTACATATAGAGCTCGAGTTGGTCAGATGTCATCCCCTTTGTGCTCTTTTTTTTTTTTGTTTTTTGCATACACGTGGCAGGCGGTGGGCGCAGCGTTTTATCTGAAGCACAAACGGTGCGTAACAGGTAAACAAGGAGGCAGACGTGAGCCAGGGATAACCTCGCTTATCAGGGCCGGGTGGCGGCAAAGTGAAATTCGAAACTGTAGCAGCAATGCGATTAAACAGCAGCCAAGTGCGCTGTGAGACATTGTCTTAGGCATTGATGTGAAAGCAATGAAAAAGCAGGACAATTGTCACGTGCCGCGCACCGAGAGGGGAACTCGAAAACCCTTGCCTCTAGCCCGCGATTTTTATCACTGCGCTGGCTGTTTCGTCCTTGTCAGGAGGCTGGCAATGTTGCAAATCATCGTCATAATCATAATTACATTCGATCAGATAACTGGCAATACAACGCGACCAACCGCCAGGCCCGTACCGCCACGAAGGCGGCGCAATTGCAATTTGAGCTAACGACCAGCAGCAGCAGCAGCATCAGGAGGGGGAAGGGGAGGGGGAGGACCAGGAGGCTCAGGATGCGTACGACTCAATTGGTGCGGCATTCGCTTCATTTGCGCTCATATTTCACAGCGTGTTCGCGTTCCCGTCCTGGCCTGGTCCTGCTCCTGGCTGTGGGCCCGGCATAAACATAAAACAAAAGCGAGTGCCAACTGCGACAACTGCCCAAAATCCTTTGGTTGGCAGGCCCGCTGCCAAAATCGCGCTTATCGCGATTTACACGCATTATGCGGCCGGCCAAAAAAGCGCATCGAAATTCTAAACCCAAAAACAGTATAGGGAGATTCCTGTTGCCCGATAGGCGGCGATTAATGCAGCCAGATAACTGGATGTGGACACTGTGCAGCAGGAACAGCCCAAAATTGTGCAGGCTGTTCGCGGCGCGAGCTAATGAGTCGCCTAAAAAGCCGTTGCTGCAGCTGAGCTGCCCAATTGCAGCACTGCACAAATATTAGAGATGCGCAAACACTCAAATGTAACTGTACGTATGCAAATAGCTGCTACTGTGAAAAGTGACTGGGACGCGAGTGTGATTTTCTTGTATGATCTCCTATCGTAAATGCAGTCACTTAACAACACTTTTCTCACTGCGACTGCACGCTAGATTGCAATAGTGCTCATCACTAATGCATATTGACGCACACAAGCAACAACACATAGATCACACGCACACATATGTCTCGCTCTTTTCAATGCGCACGCATCAGCATTTGTCTCTCCCTCTCGCTCTCACTCATTCGCATGCGATGCTCCTTTGTGCGCTTGCATCGTGTTAATTAAGCGATAATATTAATTTGTGTGTCAACACTTAAAAATAAAGCGTGAAAATTTTCGATTAATAACACATTTCACATTTCATTTTGCCATTTTATCCATATGAACAATTGCTTTTGTTTTTATAACTGTTATTGCTGTTGGCAATTCAGTACATTTTAACAGATTGTACAGAAACTCTCCAAACAGCCGCCATTTGCGCTGCTGATTTGCTTGCACATATCCATGTGTGTGTGTGTGCGTGTGTGTACATGTACACATATACATGCACTTGTCTCTGCTGGCAATACGATTAAAAATGCTTTCACGGCAAGTGCATTTCCATTTCTGCGGTTGGCGCCGCACCGTGGGGCAACAAAGCAAAAAAAACTGCCCTTTATATCGCGCTCATTATGCAAATGTTGTTGTCTGCACACATTTGCACACATCAGTTCCACATATACATACATACATGTGTAGGTATGTACACACACACACACACTTAATTGTCTACCTGTGAAATAGTATCTTTGGCCCATTCCCAATGCCTTTGAAATTTAAGTTTCTGATGAAATCTCTGATATAATATTACTTTTTTAATATTATATTAAACGGAATATGTTTAAAATGGTTTTAATATTATCTGCAAATGCATATGTATGTATGTACGTATTTTAAAAATGTTTTCCTAGCGAGCTCAGAGAGAATTCCGAATACAAGGACATATGCCATGCAGATGTGCAGATAGCTCCTCACGCGAGTCCTGATGTGCTTTTCGGGTCTCGGGTCTCGGGTCTCGGGTCCTGCGCTCTGCAATTTATGCGTTACCCTGGACCGGGGCTGCGCTGATAAATGGCGCTTTAATAAATTAAGAGTAACCCTCGATTCGCAGTTTTTTTTTATAAACAACGGCTTTTTATTTTGTTTTTTACGCTGGTTTTTACTGTAGTCGTATGTTGCCTGGCTGCGATAATTTATCTTGTTTGGCGAGATTTTTATTTTCACGTTAAATATGCAGCATGCAAGCGCGTAAATAATGCAAAAGCCGCTGCGCTTTTTATTTAAAAAGCGATAATAACAATTTGCAAAAAACAAAGCATTTAAGGGCGCAATGTTCAACCATTTTATGCGCAGCGTTTAAATTTTAACAGCCACGTCAATCGGCAACTCTTCAGCCGCCACTTCCATGTCCAACTCCAGCTCCAACTCCAACTCCAACTCCAACTCCAGCTCCCGATCCAGCTTCAGCTTTCATTACCATCTCCTGGCCATTTTCCCACCGGTTTGGGCCCGTCACATCAACACTCGTTTTTTGTTGCTGTCTGTTGATTTTTTGTTGGCTTTCCGTTGTGTTTCTTTTTTTTCTGATATCCTGCCTGCGCCTGCTGCTCCTGCTGCTGCTGCTGCTCCTGGCTCTGGACGGATGCCAGCCAGATCTGTGTGATAAATCGTAGTTTAAACGCTTTGACTCCAGTTTTAGTGGCTGCCGTTTAGTTTTTTATTAGATGCGCCATTTAGGGGCACTTTGCCAGTCAGATTTGCTCCAGATTTCCAATTTTCACTAATTGTTTCATCTCTGGCCGCCACGATGATTGATGGCTTCCTGTCCAAATCCCCAGCTCAGCATTGTTACTGGCCAAGCATTTCGGAATTTCTCAATGGAATCTACTTCTACGGCTTTCTGTCGCCACATTTTTATGCGGGTGTTACACATATAAAGGCAGAAATTGCCCCTTTTTGGGGTTTTCCACAAACAAATTAATCTGGCATAGTTCGATTTAGGCTGTGATTGAAATAATTCAGATAATTATTAACATACTTAATAGTTTCAGATACTTTTCACTATTCGGGATTACAAATTCCTTACGAATAAATATCTTCAAATTAAGCATTACTGAAGAGAAAATAAAGTATTAAAATATTTATTTTGAAAACTTTATTTACTTTTCCTGAACCTGCTTGACATAGTCAAAGGTCAAAAACAGCTTGTGGGATTAATATTTATAGTTTCTGACAAACTAACTTCCTTTTAACTACGTTTAATTATATGTTTATAGGCTTTTTACTGTACTTTTGTATATTTGTCCCTATATTCAATATAATGTAACATAGATATTGAAAATACACGTATAAAAAATGTATTCACCAGACATAGAAAGTCCATTAGAGCGCAAAATCCTTGACGAAGGACGTTGTCCCGCGCTGGATCTGGGTCCGTGTCCGGACACGAGCTTGGGCTATAATTAGCTGCACTTGTCCCACAAAAAGCCGACTCACACTCGGTGTGAGTCGATCCCAACTGGTAACTAGTTGACATTGAGCCAAGGCGTTGGTTGTATCCTTTGCGGATAGTTGTTGTTATCCCTGGACTTAGGGAGCTTCAGTTGGGCGGAAGGGCAAGGCTGTTAATGTTTTTTCGGCGTTCTGTACGAGGGCAAGCGAAGGGAAGGGAATTATGAACCCAACAAACGGGATAATAAGGGATGATCATAATTTTACATGTGCCATTGATGCTGCTGCCGCATTACTACCTATGCTCAGCAGGGGGCGGGGGGACAGGGGTTAGGGAGGGGTGAACCCGCTGCCTGGACTGGTTGCAGTGAAATTAATTTCTGATTATCTGTTTGGCTTGCCCTGGCTTCCGGCTGGATGGGCTGGATGAGTCTGAGGCGGGAGACAAGCCAAGTAGACCCGCAACAAAAACAATGCACATATGCTGATGACGTCAGAGGCACTCGTCCTTGACGCTGTGGCAAGTGGCAGCATTCGCCGGTGGATGAAATGATTGCCGGTTGCTCTCCGTGGCAGTTCTTCTAGGTAGTTATTGTTATTACTTTTGCGTGTACACGGCTACATGCATTTTTACAGCTCCGCGTCCTGCAAGTACGCTGATAGTGATGAATGAGTCCATGAGTCCACAGTCCGGTGGCCACCCCCGCTCGCTGCTGTTGTCGCATATGCCGTGTTTTTCCCTACTAATTCATTGGATGAGTGTTGGATTACAGGGCGAGAGAGAGACGAGCTGGCAACCCGCTTTAATCATTTTTAAATTAGAGAACTATGCGCCTTTTCCTGCGCCCCTTCGCGACACAAATTCAGTTTGCAGTGGTTGCTCGCCTCGTTTGTTTATCTATTTGTTTTTGTTCGCGAAGGCGAACACACACACACACACACAGACTCGAGAGTTTCGCCCTTCCGCATCTTCATCTCTCGAAATTGCAGCAGATTGTCTGACGAGAGTTGCACTTGCGGTTAACATTTCCCTGCCACTTCGAGTGGCAAGTGCGTGTGCCTCGCACATGCCACGATTTTCTGTAGTCACTGACACTAAAATGTTTTTGCCCCCCACCCCCCTTGCCTCCCTCTCTGTGTCCCCAGGCAAACAGCGACTACGAAGCTCGCATTTTTACCGCCTAAACAAATACAAATACCAAGTGCGCCCCCTCAGTTATTATTAGCCGAATTTTGACCGACCGCCGCGGCGTTTAGGTCCCGCTTTGGAGTGTGTAAATATTTGCACGGTGTATGTGTGTTTGTTCCATATGTCGCGACCTTCTGACCAGCTCGCAACTCTCGAGTAGTTGCACTGTAATTAGCATTTATGTCTGTTTGTATTTGCCTAATGGCAGTTGGGGGACCAGACTAGACCAATGGATGGGGACAGATAACAGGTTCCCATTGAGCTATAGGGCTGATGTTCCATATATGCGATAATCACCAGAGGTGAGTACACAATTCGTCTAATCAATGGAAGTGATCGAGAATGTTTCACTTGCCTGTAACCGACGGCGTAGTAGGCCTTTACCTCCTACATATCCTATGTATATAGATAGAGGTCGAAATTTCCTAGTCCCATAATTCGTTTAAAACTCAACCGATTTTCATTAGGTTTGGCTTTATGCTCATGGTTTGATCTCCAGATCAATTTGGCATCTTATTCTGGCAACATTACTTTTACTCAGAATTCATGTGGAAATGATACCCTCAAATTTCCTATATAGACATAGGTCAAAAATTTCCCACTCCCATAACTCGGTCAAATCTCGTCCAATTTTTGCGAGGTTTGGGTCTTTGTTCATGGTTTTGGATCAATTTGACATCTAAATCTGGCCACATTATTTTTACTCAAAATTCATACAAATATGGTAAATTATATCGATTTTTCTCCCAGTGTACACAGGTAAAATATTTTTGAATCGTTCTTTACAGAAGCTCATTAGAAGTCGTATTTTCAAATCGAGTCGTTCATTAGAAGAGGTGACTTTTTAAGCTTTATATAAATTGTAAATTTGCTGCACCAAAAACGACCTAAGCCTAGTTGAGCTGTGGTCTATATCTGCCTTTTATCACCCTTCCCCCTTTTTCCACAGTTAGCCTAAGCTCTCTCCTTAGTGCGTAAAATATGGCCATCTAGTGAACAATTATTTACAATTTGTACATGCTTTCTTCATTGCAGGCCATCATCTACGAGGGCCAGGACAAGAATCCCGAGATGTGCCGTGTCCTGTTGACGCACGAGGTGATGTGCAGGTGAGTTCGTTTGCCGCGAGTCGGATTCCTTTAATAATCTGCAAATGATTCGGATGCATTGACTTCTGCTTTGAGTAATCCACACCTTTGATTCCCTTGTCTCGAGGGTGTCCAGTTGCCGCCTTGGCTCCCCAGAGCTTTGTCCAAGTATTTATGTTTGGCTTGTGAGCTTTGCTTCCCCTCCATCATTCCCCCCTCCCCCCCCCCTTCCGCCTAGGCGTATGCGAGTCCGCCGGAATTGGCAGCTACGCTCATTTGTTTTAAGCGTTTTCCGCGTGATTTTTCCACTACGCAGCTTTTGTTTTCTTTCTGTTTTCTTTTCTTTTTTTTTTTTCATATTTTTTGTTGCCTTGCTTGGAGCTTTTTTGGCCGCTTTAATAATGTTGATTTTTTAGTTTGCCTCTCAACCCTCCTCTCTATTCTATTCTATCCCCTCCAACCGTCCGTCCGTCCGTCCGTCCGTCCGTCCGTCCGCCCTGTCAGTTGGCCGTTGCGTTCTTCGTTTTATTTTTACGCTCAAACGCACGAGAGCTGAAACGTATAAATGGCAGCCACTCGCAAGCCTCCTCTCTCCACCAAGCCCCCAAATCCCCCCTCCCCTCTTCGCATGTCTCTTTCTCTCCTTTTTTTTGCGACTCTTCCCATCGTCATCTAGCATCATCATATCTCTGGGCAGTTCACCCTTCTAGCGCCCAACGGAGGCTGACAGTTGAAGGTTGCCTCAAAATAATACAAATGAAAGTCCACAAAATCGTGACCGACTACAATATACCCTTGAATTTAATATAATTCAACTGATATTCAACAATTCATATTGGAATAAAGACAATTTAGATGGGAGTAAAAATATTTGCCTAGAATTTTCCCATTGAATTGAACTGAAATGTTTTTCTTTGTCAGGCATTCCAAAAATCTCTGAACTAGGCAAAGATAAGTGGGACAAAGATAAGATAAAGATATGTTGGATAACTTTCGCAAGAGAAAAATAGAATTTTCAGTTTCAGAAACCGAGTCCTCCAAGTGCAGCATACCCAAGGTACCCCAAAAAAACGGGCTAACACAACACAGCATAGCAAAAACAGAAGCAAACAACAAAAAAAAAAAATTACACAGATTCGTCCCCTTTAGACGGCCACGCCCCCCGCCCCCGCCGCCCCGTGGCAGTCGGTAGAGCTTCAGGGTGCGCTGGCCGGCCATCTTTTATTATTTCGGATTGGCACCCAGTTTTTATGTTTGCGTAGCATTATCAAAACAAGGGGACAACGCACAGGGGTTGACTTCCCCCTCCCCCTCCCCCTGCTCACGCTCCAGCTCCAGGTTCAGCCTTAGCTTTGGATTTGGCCAAGAAAGCAGCAAAAATCAACAGCTTCGCGTAACACAAAGCAAATACAAACACAATGGCGCCGGCGTCGCAGCCGCCGTCGCAGTCGACGTCGTCGTCGTGGCGAGCAGCGGCAATGGCTTCTCCTTTATCGTTTGGCATTTCGCCCATTTTAGTCATCCATGTTTATGTTCTGCCCAGGACGATGCCAAAGCTGAAGCTTTAGCCGAAGCCACCCAGTTAGTGTGCCACCCCCGCACGACCCAGCCCCCTTTCCTTTCCCCCTCCCCTTCCCCGGGCCACATCTCATCGCTGCCCAGAGGCTGTGCGGCCAAAAATTACGCAGCCATTGAACTCAATCCGAGTGCGTATATGTGTGTGTTTTTTTTTGGAAAATGCATAGCAAAATATCTAGAAAACATTTTGTCTAACTTCAGATTATTTCTCTGCACCTAAGAATTAATAATTAATAATACATTCATGATTCGTGAGTTAATAGAAAAATCAAAAGTTTTTTCAACTATTTATTTTTTACAACTTATAGCGTGGTATATTCTATATATATATATATATATATATATATATTCTAAATTGGTCCCGAAATGTTCATTTCCTAAAAGGACACATATTCAACTCCATAAATTAATAAATTAATATTCTTAACCAGTTTCAACAGCTGAGTCGATAAAACTATGTCCCTCTGTCCGACTGTCAATTTTTCTTTGCAAACGTTTTTTTTATCGACCCGATCGGAGCAATATATCATATAGTTGTCATAGGAACAATCGGTCAAAAGTTAAGATAGCTTGAACATATTTTAGGCATTTCTAAGTTTCACAATTGAGCAAAACCTTGGCAAAATATGCCTACGATATCTTATTGCAATGTTGTAATAATTGATAGAGAATACAGAAAATACAATTGATACAATCTAAACTAAGACTTAAATAAAGCAATTTTACTTTGTTTAGAAAAGCGCGTTCCATCTTTATCGATTTATCAATCCCAACTCAGTTTTTGTTTCAAAAACTTTTAAACTGAAAAGAACCTCAATTTTTCTTTATTTTTTTTAGCTTGAATAAAGCTCGAATATTATAAAAATTACGTACTTTTTATTGTTCATTGAATTCATATATCATATCTAAACTAAGGTACGAATTATGTTTAATTCTAAAATTTAGCCTTGTTAGGGCTAAAAGTCTTTAGAATATATTATTAAAGAACGAAGGAATGCCGTTTTTCTCACTGTGTTGTATTTTATATCTATTTATATCTATTTAAAAATATAATTAGAAATGTTTGATAATTATCTTTCTCCTCCAATTTGAGTTGAGCTATTAAAATGTATATTTTTTAATTATAAATATATTTATATATATATTTATTTTTATTTTTTAAATAATTGGGAGATTAACTTTATCTGTACTATTCGTTAAGTAATTGCAGTAATTTTTCCATGTAGCTTTAAGTTGTATTTAGGAAATGGTCCTTTAAGATTTTTAACCTATCGATTTCGTTTTATTTTACCTGCAGCCGCTGCTGTGATAAGAAGAGCTGTGGTAACCGCAACGAGACGCCATCGGACCCCGTCATTATTGATCGGTAAGTAGATGTGTAATGTCCCTGCCCGATCCCTTGTACCCCCGGCCACGCTCCGACTCCAGCTCCGACTCCGGCACCAGCTCCGAGCTGATGCGCCATACAAAAGATGACATTTTAAGCTGCTTTTCATCATCGGCGCTGAGCGCTTTTTATTTTGCCAGCCTGTTTGCGGCTTGTATGCGTATCGTTGATTTATTGGCATTATTATCAACTGCAATATAAAACATGATGCGGCAGCTTGCCCCGTAGATGGGGCAGGTTGCGGCATGCGGCGGGGGCAACTGGCGAGACAGCAGGAGCTCCGGGAGCTCCGGAAAAGTCTGAGCTGGCCAAAATGAAAGTTCATCAGCATGCAAAGGCAAATTCTATTTTCATAAATTGTGAATTGTGAATTGTAAATTGTAAATTGAGACGAGTGCAGCACTCGCAATCGCAATCCGACACCCCCGTCTGCCTTCTGCCGCATCCCGCGACCCGTCCCTGTCTCCCGGAGCGCCCCTCGCGCGCCTGTCACGTGTCAGGCGAATTATGTTAATTGTATGCACATCCTTGCGGCTGCCATTCAGTCCGATCCCCGAGCCGCAGCCACTTCCCAGTCGAGGTCGAGCCTGAGGCCGCCAGCCGGGCGTGCGTCGCCTCTAATTGGCTTCGGAAATATTATTAGAGAAACACAAATTGTTTGCACAAAAATATAAGCCACAGGAGGCGGAATATTAATTTCATTCAAATAATATGTTGTATGTGCGATTATTCTTGAGACAAAAACTATTTGAAAGGGGCAAATAAAAAGAAGGGCTTACAATATACTTCTCATTTATAAATCACTTTCATCAAATTGTTAAACTTTACTTTTTAGTCAGCTTTGGACTAGAAATAATTATTCAGCTGACTTATTGAATAGCTTAGTTAACAGCTTCTAAGTTCGAATTATAATTCGCCTGCCTGGAGGCTGCTTTTAATGTGTATTTAATAACTAAATTACATTAATTAATCACAATAATTGAACCATATCCTACACCCAATCAAATGGCTAAAGGACATATCCGACCCCCCAAGATAAACATATTCCTGTTCATATTCTGTCCGTTTGTTAATCTGCCTCAATCTGAGAAACTATGGGAACCTGAGAAAATTTGTTAAGTTCTCCTTTGACACTTTAAGATTAAGTTTGATCTAACTCAATATCGAAATCTTGTTCTTTAGGCATATTCCGGAACCTATTAGAACTAAAGATAATAAAAGTTATTAAGTCGTTTCTCGTATAGAATGGTATTGAGTACATATTCAGAATATGTCACTTTTTGGATACATCTCCCCCCCCCCCCCCCCTCCCTCTCTCATGCCATTAAAGCCAGGCCGGATGCGTCTAGAGAAGGAAAGCAGAATGTTGGCAAAAAGCAGTTCGGCGCGCGATTCATAGTATTTCCTTGTCGGGCTCGGACTCTCGACATGCTTCTCTTCTCTTCTTTTTTTTTTGCATAAGTGAGCTGCCCCTGAATGATTCGATTGCCTTGGTTGGTTGGACTTGTTAAAGAATTTGAGCTGGTCAATTGAATCGCACCTTATGCAGATAACAATCCCCAATCGACCAACAACATCATTATCATTGTAGGGTATCATTGCCAGCTGCGGTGGTCCCTTCAGCTGGTCAACGGGTGTTCAAAACTATTTGCCTATTGAGCAGCTGCTAAATGGCATCTATATCGATTGTCCACGATGGTGGTATTCCGCGAAACCTGGCCTCAAGCCAGCAGCATCGACAAAGACTTAATGATTCTATTACAAAGCATGGAGGGACGCCAAGTCTAAGACTTAGATCGAGTCGGAGATGGAGAAGGAGTCGGAGCTGGAGATGGAGACTCATTTATGCGCTGGCTGGTTGGCTGGCAATCAGGCCATAATTGGTGTGATAATTAAATTTAATTGATTGCCTGTTGATGTCGTTTACTGCTGTTGGCTTAAAAAAGAGACTCTGTTTGCAAATTAGGAAATCTAGAGAAGCAACAGCCTGGGCCTGGGCCAGTCCGCAATGGGTTCGGCAAGATCAGAGCTTGCTGCATTTATGATCTTGTTAAAATTGCTGAGCGTGTTTTGTTCGCGCTACGTGCTCCACAATGCAGCCAAATCCGTTGCAAGAACAGTTATCGGACAGGCAGGTAACTGGAGAGTTGGATCCAGTGCTGGATCCACGTGCGCAGGCGCGATATTTACGATTATTAATTCATTTTTCGCCTGTTTATTTGCGCAATGCGATCGCCTTGTTAGCCGCAAGCTGGCATTGACCAAATTGGTTAATCCCGTCGCATTCCCAACTTCCAGCGCGGCACATGTCGCATTTGTCAGCCGGCCTGTAACTCTTGTCGCCAGCTAGAGAGACAGAGAGAGACAGATAGAGAGAGAGAGAGAGATTGGGAGAGTGAGAGAGTTGGAGGCAGAAGCAGAGCCATTGCCAGATCGAGAGGCGCATATCAATCACCGCTCTACACACATACACATCCCAATCAGAGCCGCGGCGGCATGGATCAGTCAGACAGACAACTACCGCCTGCTCCTGCTGCTGCTGCTGCTGCTGCTGCTGCTGCTCCTGCTCATTGATATGCCTGTAGATCATGCCGCCGCCGCCAGAAGACATCGGCTCGTTCTGCTGGGATAATCTATGTGTTCGCAACTAAATTTTGCAAGGCCCACACGCTAAAGCGCTAACTTGGCTGGGGGTCCCGCACATTTTGCCACTCCGGCTCCGACTGCTGCGGCTGCTGATCGCAGAAACTTGTCACTGAGCGCGCAACAATTGGAACTGATTGAAAATTCCGACTCTGAACAGGCAGCAGGCAAGAGGCAACAGGCCGCCTGCATTTCAAAGTGGTTGTGGCTAAGCCAAAAACTGATACATATGACAACAACCAGCGGACAACACCAGTTGCGATTGCTGCTGCTGTTCCTGCCACTTGCATGACGCTCGAACGTGTGCCGTGAGAGTCGCAGCAGCAGCAGCAGCAACAGCTGCAACAACAACAACAACAACAACGAGTAGGAGAAGGAGACAGAGCTTTGGTTTCCACATGTTTTATTGATGAATTTCTGTTATTCATGCAACGATCTGCAGTCGCCGGCAGCGGCAGCTTTACAGATGCCGAAAATGTGCACACAATGCGGCAAGCGCACAGTGGTGCAAAGTGCGCCATAGATATTCCAATCAATTCCAATTTTTGATCACTTTAAAATACAAACTTACAACAATCAATATCAAAAAGGAATTACAAAGTTTACTTATCGCAATGAGTCACAGGTTCGATTCATATTCAATTCTTTATTTAAAATAAATTACAATTGATTAAATTCAATAAATATTCCAATCAGTTCAAAAATACAAATATTAAAAATTAAATTTATATTCATTTCTTTATTTAAAAAAAATAAAAACAAATATTTAGTTTAAAATTGATTAAATTCAAAACCTATTTGAAGATTAAAAATTAGATTTATATTCATTTCTTTATTAAAAAAAAAGCAAATATTTACTTTAAAATTGATTAAATTCAAAACCCATTTATAAAAATCCTTAGCTATTTTTTAAGGGAATTAAGGGTTTAATAAATAGTTGCTATTTAAACTAAAATGCATTTTTTTCTAGGAATATGACAATAGTATAGATATTGGATAATAGAGATTAGAGAACTTTTATCATTTATTTCCCAGTTTTCAATCAAGTAATTATACACGTAATAAAATTGGGAATATTTTTGAAGAACATTTTGAAATAAGTATAGAAAAACCTGGAGTTTTATGTAGGAATTATGAATAGTTTTAATCGTTGCCCATTAGTTAGATTAAGTCAAAGTCAATTGCTTTAAATAAATAACTGTTTATTAGTTAGTCTAATTGTGTTCGCCAAGCGATCGCTATTTTATAACGATCTTAGTCGAATTTGTCCAGTTGCGATTCGATTGTTAACTCCGTATTTAGGCCTTTAGTCACAGTACCTATAGATAGCTGAGGATTTGCAATTACCAGCGCAGGTGAGGACTGAGCAAGCGCAGTCTCCATCTCCATCTCCATCTCCATCTCCAATTCGGTCTCCGTTTTGGCTTCAGCTTCAGCTCAGTTTCCCAGTTTCAGCACAAGTCCCCAAGTTGAGGAACCGTCTCGGGCCGCCGTTTTATTTATGATTTGCGAGGACACTCGGCGCATTGTGTGCGGATCGATTGCTACGTTTGCTACGCATTTATTTTTGTTTTTTTTTTTTTTTTTTGGTATGCGCTTCGTGTGTGTTCCATAATTAAGTGAATTTAAAGCGCACTGCGGCGGTGGTCGCATTGTCGCCACCGTGGATGATTCTGGCCCAGCTCTGTTGTGGTCAGCCAGCTGCGGCATCTATGTGGTTGTTGTTGTTGGTGTTGTTCTCATTTTGTGTGGTTGTTGTTGTTGTTTGTGTCGTTTGCGACATGTTCCGCGTTTTTTTCACACATTTTCGGTGATCGCTGCTCAACTTGAGCTTTGTTTTTGTATTTATTTTCAATTTTCATCTCATTCCATGTACCCATTATATGTTTATGATGGGCACATCTGGCGTATGCGTAATAACGCAAATTATACCGTGCCTGCATTGACAGCACCCACACACGCACACACACTCGGACACTCACAGACTGCTGCGGCAGTTAACGATTATCGCGTGTCGAATGACCGCTTCGACTTTTTAATTTGAGTAAATTGTGCCGTGCACTTTAAGGAAAATGAAAAAATACGCTAAACATCGCCCATCTGTTGGAAAAAGCTGAATATTGCCATTTGGAAGAGTGGCCAACAAACTGAACTGACAAAAAACAGAAAAACAAGAAAGGAGCAAAAACCCAAGCGCACAATCCGAAATTTGCCGCATTTGCATTTATCTACGTCATTGGCAGTTTCTTCGCTTTATTTCAATTTTCTATATTTTCCCGGCGCGACAAATAAACTAAGTGCAAACTCACGGGCAAATGTGGGCAACTGTGGCCCGC